AAGAATGTGTAAAGACTTCCCCAACACATCCACTCTGACAGTGCTGTTGATCATCTATGTGCAATATCTAAGTCTTTCCATGTTCTGTGCAATATTTTTGGCTCATGTGCAATATTTTGGTCCCAGTCTATTTCAATGTTTCTTACACATACACCATTGTATATAGTTTCACTCACATATATGTATACATATACACTGCTTTTTATTGTATTTATTTATTTTCCCCCCTTCGTTGTATATTGGTTTCTCTTCTTCTTACTTTTGCACCTTTGTGGTCTAGCTACCCAATTTCGCTGTGCAAGAAACTGCACAATGACAATAAATAGCTCTAAGTCTCTAAGTCTCTAAGTCTTCACATGGCAAAAATAGCAATCATTGAGATGATCTCACGGTTTCTGCCACACCATCAGGATTGCAAATAGCATTGCTGCTTTTTGCAGAGTTAGCAAGTCCACTGGAACAACTGTTGCAGGAGAAATGTTGACCCCAAGATTTATCCTGGTCACCCAGTGGACAGCCAAAGTACAATTTGTATATCTTCTTAAGGTCTGTGGTAATTAGGCAATGTTGTGCTTTAGTTGTTAATGAACCACCCAAGTAACAGAAACTGTCTAGGGCGCAGAGCAATTGCAATTTTTGGTATGAATTAACCAAAAAAAAAAAAAAGAACTCTGCTAGCTAGCATAATGGACAGGTTTTTGACGGGGCTCGCACACAAACGAAAAGCAGAAGTTGAAGCATCACCAAATATGCATACAAACCCACTTCCTTCCAAACCAAAAAGCAGAAAATATGATGAAGCATTTCTTGCGCTTGGCTTCACCTGCACAACGGTGGGTAATGAGTAGGGATGGGTATCAAAAACCGGTTCTTGTTGAGAACCGGTTCCCACTGTTTCAATTCCTTGGAATTGTTTGCCATTTTTGCAAACGATTCCCTTATCGATTCCAGTTTCCCCGAATGACGTCACCACGTTGCGGAGCGTCATTTACCTGGCAGGAAACATGGCGGCTCAAACGCTCAAAAGTTTGGTTATACTTTTCGAGAACAGATGACAACAGGGCAACTTGCAATACTTGTAAAGTATAAAGTAGATATTTTGTTTAAGGGAGGAAACAAAAGCAAAAGCATTTTCTCACAAAACGCACAATGACCTTAAATGAATGTCGTGTTTTTAATTCCGCTCCGGACTCGTGAATCTCAACCCAGCAGCAGCGGTAACGTTTGCACGTCTTCTCCCGTTAATGCGGCAGGTAAATAATCAACTAACAGTGCATATTATGTTAGCGCGATCTGCCTTATTACAAAACCTGCCATTACTGTGCATTTAGGTGACCATGATGAGCGAGACAGACAGAGTCTGGCTCAGATGCTGGCAGTTCTCGCTGCAGTCTATTACTAGTAATACTATAACTTTTTTATACATGGGCCCATACTGGTAATGACTGATGTCATCGCCACAGTCAACTACATCAAAACACGACCTGTGAAAGCCCAGATTTTTTCGGCACTGTGTGAAGAAATGGGCTCCAACTACACAGCCGTTTTGTATCACAGCGAGTCCCAATGGCTGTCATGTGGGAAGGAGAGAGGTCTTTGAACTGCGAGATGAGATCCGCAGCTTTTTGAAGAAAGAGGGCAGTGATCTTACCAACAAATTTAACTGTAACAACTTTCTCATGAAACTGGCATACCTCAGTGACATGTTCCTGAAACTCAATGAACTAAATTTCCAGATGCAGGGCAGGAACACTCACCTCCCACATCTGACAGATAAAGTCACATCATTTGTCAGAAAACTTGAAATTTGGAAGCAACGAGTGAAAGATAGAAACGTGGACTCATTTGAGAATTTGAAATCATTCATTGAAGACAACAAGCTGCAGAATACAGTGATCCCATGCATGAACAAACACGTCTGCCCTTCAAAAACATTTCCAGAGACATTACCTGGTGCAAGATTCCAAATAATATGACTGGATCCGTGACCCCTTCAGTCCAACACCCCCTGCTGACTTCAGCACATACAAGGAGGAACAGTTCATTGATCTTACCTGTGATTCAACTAAGAGGCTGCAGTTTAATTCAAAGACCCTGAAGATCTTCTTGTAAAACAAAGTGCAAAAAAGCAAAAAAAGTTTGGGTGCCACTGATCTATTCAGTTGTGTAAATCCACAAGAGCAGTAAAACTTAGAGCAGTAGTAGCCCAGCTCAGTTAATCACAGTTTGTGAAAAATCTGCTGGAGTTCTCAATAGAAAGTTCTTTGAGTTGTGATTATTTTCCCTATTGACTACAATTTTAGGGTTCCTCCATGTGCTGAATCCCACTTTAATCCCTTCCATACTCATTTTGCTGGTTAGAGACAAGAAAAAGTTTGGGGTTTTTTTCCTTCTTTTTCAATTTCCATCTTCTACTAAAGTAATTCAAGTATAAGCTGGGCTACTATAGCGCCAGGTTCAGTTAACTTTGTAAAAAAAACTGCTGGTTGAATCATCCAACAAGCAACAACTTTTTACTTTCTTAATTGGAGTATATTTCAGAGCCTGTACTTTTTCGCTTTTATTTGAGTAAAGAAGTTGAATTAGTAAATGGACTTATTCTTATACAGGGAGTGCAGAATTATTAGGCAAGTTGTATTTTTGAGGAATAATTTTATTATTGAACAACAACCATGTTCTCAATGAACCCAAAAAACTCATTAATATCAAAGCTGAATGTTTTTGGAAGTAGTTTTTAGTTTGTTTTTAGTTTTAGCTATTTTAGGGGGATATCTGTGTGTGCAGGTGACTATTACTGTGCATAATTATTAGGCAACTTAACAAAAAACAAATATATACCCATTTCAATTATTTATTTTTACCAGTGAAACCAATATAACATCTCCACATTCACAAATATACATTTCTGACATTCAAAAACAAAACAAAAACAAATCAGCGACCAATATAGCCACCTTTCTTTGCAAGGACACTCAAAAGCCTGCCATCCATGGATTCTGTCAGTGTTTTGATCTGTTCACCATCAACATTGCGTGCAGCAGCAACCACAGCCTCCCAGACACTGTTCAGAGAGGTGTACTGTTTTCCCTCCTTGTAAATCTCACATTTGATGATGGACCACAGGTTCTCAATGGGGTTCAGATCAGGTGAACAAGGTGGCCATGTCATTAGTTTTTCTTCTTTTATACCCTTTCTTGCCAGCCACGCTGTGGAGTACTTGGACGCGTGTGATGGAGCATTGTCCTGCATGAAAATCATGTTTTTCTTGAAGGATGCAGACTTCTTCCTGTACCACTGCTTGAAGAAGGTGTCTTCCAGAAACTGGCAGTAGGACTGGGAGTTGAGCTTGACTCCATCCTCAACCCGAAAAGGCCCCACAAGCTCATCTTTGATGATACCAGCCCAAACCAGTACTCCACCTCCACCTTGCTGGCGTCTGAGTCGGACTGGAGCTCTCTGCCCTTTACCAATCCAGCCACGGGCCCATCCATCTGGCCCATCAAGACTCACTCTCATTTCATCAGTCCATAAAACCTTAGAAAAATCAGTCTTGAGATATTTCTTGGCCCAGTCTTGACGTTTCAGCTTGTGTGTCTTGTTCAGTGGTGGTCGTCTTTCAGCCTTTCTTACCTTGGCCATGTCTCTGAGTATTGCACACCTTGTGCTTTTGGGCACTCCAGTGATGTTGCAGCTCTGAAATATGGCCAAACTGGTGGCAAGTGGCATCTTGGCAGCTGCACGCTTGACTTTTCTCAGTTCATGGGCAGTTATTTTGCGCCTTGGTTTTTCCACACGCTTCTTGCGACCCTGTTGACTATTTTGAATGAAACGCTTGATTGTTCGATGATCACGCTTCAGAAGCTTTGCAATTTTGAGACTGCTGCATCCCTCTGCAAGATATCTCACTATTTTTGACTTTTCTGAGCCTGTCAAGTCCTTCTTTTGACCCATTTTGCCAAAGGAAAGGACGTTGCCTAATAATTATGCACACCTGATATAGGGTGTTGATGTCATTAGACCACACCCCTTCTCATTACAGAGATGCACATCACCTAATATGCTTAATTGGTAGTAGGCTTTCGAGCCTATACAGCTTGGAGTAAGACAACATGCATGCAGAGGATGATGTGGACAAAATACTCATTTGCCTAATAATTCTGCACTCCCTGTATAGCACTTTTCTACTCTTCCGGAGTACTCAAAGCGCTGTATACAACATGCCACACTCACCCAATCACACCCATTCTCACAAGCACTTTCTCTATACATAGTGCTTTCTAACTACTATCACACACATTCATACTCTGATGGACGCATCACAGAGCAACTTGGGGTTAGTATCTTGCCTAAGGATACTTGACATGCAGACTGGAGCCAGGGATCAAACCACCAACCTTCCGATCAGTAGGTGACCTGCTCTACCTCCTGAGCTACAGCCACCCCTAGTACTTCAAGTTTTAATGGAGTTTTTTTTTTTGGTCTGTACTTCTAAGTAAGCACAGAATGTCTGTATTTTTGCCACTCTGGGTGAGAGTAATATAAAGCTTTAGCTTTATGTAATTTCAAGACTATGATCAGTATTACTTTAGTAGTTAATGCTGTTTTTAGAGCAAAATCTATTGTTCACTAGTTTTTTCACAAGTTAATTTATTTCACTATCTAAAAATGGAAGGCAATTTTCAACTATATTTCAACTAACACTTGATTTGACACTTGACACACAGATTAAAAGTAAAGCTCAATTCTACGAGGAAAATCAAATTCCCACACAGCTTTTCTTAAAGTGTGCACTGAGTTTAAGTGTTAATGGTTCTAATGACCAAAGTCACATATGTGCTAAACAGTGTCCCACGTACCCTACATAGTTTGCTCTGGCAACAAATTCAATTACTACATTATACATAGTGTCCTCTTGTGTTACCTGGACCCCGACCAAGTAGTAACCAAGTAACTCAATAATATCAAATACCCAAGGTGAAAATATAAAGTCATTCTCTTACCTTTGACTGGAGATGTTGGTGAGTGTGGTAGGATTATGCACAGATAAGGTATATTTGCTTGTGGAAAGGTTTGTCTCTGTCTCCTTTTCAGCTGTATGCTTCATTGTCTTTCCATTATGTTGCTATAAACAGAAAGCAGAAACCACACTGACAACTGTTATGAATTTACAGATTCAAATTGTGATTCCTTTTATTTGATAACAGTAACAGCATACACCAATAAGCTGCAAATCTTGAAGAGGCAAGTTAGAATTTGGGCGTCCAGTGGTAGAGTTTGCCACATTGGAGTCAATACCAGTACTGGTATTCTTCCTCTTATTCCTTAGACGTTGCCTTAAACGGTCCCGTAGTTTCTTTCTCTGCTTCCTGTTTGTAAAGAAACAAAGTAGATCGTGAAAGAGCCCAGATCGCAACTTGGATACATAACTGATGGCAGTCCCACATAAACAAAAAGATAGTAAAAGTAATTCATAGTTGATGCTAGCAAAAGTAATTTATGTTTATAACATTGTACAACAGTACAATGAATATGGTTGTATTGGCCACTAGCAACACAAATTCCTCAAAATTCTCTCAGCCCACTTGGTTTGACCGTATCTCTGATCATTGAATTGTGGATGATGTCCAGCTTTATAGGTAACTTTAGAAATGTTATAATGGTTTCACTGTGTGAAGAAGTGCAATGGATGAATGTAACAGACTTTTGTAGCTAAATCACAATAAAAGACACATCAAATCATGCTTTGAATCAGATATTAAACAAACATACATTTTCAATTACAAAAATTGTAAAACTAATAGTCTATACTAATGTTTGAACCAAGGAGGTCTACCGCACAATTAAAATTGTACAATTGAGCATCTACTAATTAAAATACTTCAGAGTATCTCATCTTAACATCTTTTTTTATTCTTTGATCTGAATACTTTCTTTTATTGATGCCCCTTCTTTTTTATACATTTTGCATTCATTTATTCAACCACAACTGCAAAAGAGAAACTGCACCCTGAATTTGGCGGTACAATATGAAACTATAATAAAATCAGGGACAGTACCTACATAGTATACAATGAAAAACAAAAAATGGCATTAATGACATTACTTGGTTTTGCAGTAGGCAACCACACACATGATTCCAACGACTAGGAGCGCAATGCAGATTCCAGTTATTGTTAAAATACGTTTCTGATACAGCTCCTCAGCTTCTGAAAAAAAAGGACAACCATTCTTTAAAACATTATATCTAAACACACACAGTCAACCACAAACACACACAAAGACTCTGTCAGCCCTAAACCCAAACAATTTTTAAAACGACTCTGTAATACAGTTTTTATATTTCTAGCAACCACAGTCCACATGCAAAGATTTGAAGAGAGATAAATCTGTGTCTTTAATCTAACTGAAATGTAATTATTAGAGGGAGAAAGGCAGTGGCAGGTGTATTATGCTCTTTGATTCCCATAAGCTTATAATTCATATTATTTTTTTTATTTTTTGTCCAAAATTAATCTAATTTAAATCAGTCGTAGAGGTGACAAATAACAAAGTACTTCATTTCACATCACTGCATACCTTCAAATATCAAAGTGGTTTGAAACTAAACAGTTAATACACAAATACGGATGGGTACCGGTATCCGGTGCCATTATGGCACCAGTTCTGACATAAACGGTAGTAATCAGACCGAAAAGCACCGCACATTTCATTGCTTTATTTCGGTGCTTTTTTTTCTTGAGATGTCATACACTTTCGATTCTAGCCAATCATTTTACCTTTCCAAGGATAGTAGGTGGGCCCAGGTAGGTATGTTCTTTTAGAGCAGAGCTACAGATTAAAAATGCCCAAGGCGAAGCGGTCAAAAGTCTGGCTGTACTTCACAGCAAAAGATGCAAACTCAGCAGCCTGCAACAAGTGCTTTAAGGTGATACTGTGATACTGTCAAAGGAGGTAACACCTCGAATCTGATGAAACACCTGGCGATGTATAGCATTTTGTTAAAAGCCGAGAAATGCGCCGTGTTTGATAGCTTGCTGCAAGACCTCACACCAAGCACATCTACTGCGGGTGTGGTGCCTGTTATCGGATCTGGAGTTAGCAACATCCCCCTAGAACCCGAAGAGGAGAGTCCTGGCCCTAGCCCTGCCAGTGTAGCAGAAATGATGGCAGATGATAATGCTAGCAGCAGCCGTTCTTCTCTTAATGTGGCTTAATGTTGTTCGTGTGTAATTTACGTTGAGTAGGCTAACCACGTTATTAAATTAATGCATGTAAGGTGACCTAGCAAACACCGTCGTAGTTACATGCGGCTGTCTTCTTGTTTGATGGCAGATACTCCCTTCACCCTGGCCAAAAAAGCTAAAATGACCAAAGAAAAAGTGGAAAACAGCTAAACATGAGAGGTCTTTGGACAAAGTTTGTGTTTTTTCCATTGTTTAAGCACTGCTTCCAGCCAAGAGTGATACCATATATGCCCTATAGCTGCAGAAAAGGCTAACATTGTTATCTTTTTACAAAAAAACACAGCTAAACATGAGAGGTTTTTGGACAAAGTTTGTGTTTTCCATTCTTTAAGCACCGGTTCGAGCACTGTTTAAGCACTGGCACCATTTCAAAAGTACCGGTGTGGCATCAGTATCTGATAAAACCTAGACGATACCCATCCCTATACACAAAGGACTATCCTAACGGTGTTTCACCAAGGATTATTACATATAAAGTGACAGAAAAGGCAAAAACGTGTAATTTATGCATAACTTATTGTATGTTTGTTTTGGGGAGTTTTGCCACATCAAAACGAGTGTCAATGTACATAAGATATATTTGTGATACTTCAGAATCTAGATAGACCTACAGAAGAGGAGCGAGCATAAAAGGAGTAATATAGCAGGTAAATTAAAAGGCAATGTTTCAGTTAACAAGTTAACAAGTATCAGCAGACACACAAACTGTTTGTGTTCAGCCTGCACACTGTGTCCACTTGTGTTTCCCAGGTAGAGGAAAGAGTGAGAGCAAACGTCACACAGCAATGGAGAATGATAAGGACTACTCAGTGACATTTGATAAACTTGGCGTTGGAAATCAGCCAAAACAATTCATCAAAAACATCTGCTTACATCTTCTTGAATTCAAATGTGTAAATCTACAAATATTAACAAAATCTCAGAGCTGCAGCAGCTGATCACAGCCAGTGTACAAAGAAAATCTATTGAGGCTCATGTAACATATGTGTTAAATACTTGTAAATTTCACCCCAAACACCTTTTTTAAAATTAAATATTTCATTTTGCATTTTAATCTCCTGCCTGTGTGATCTGAGTCTGTGTGTGTTCGTGTGTGTGCGCGCTACATATGACGTAGGCGCGTGCATGTGTGCCCCGGTCACCGCTCCTTTCAGCATGGCCGGAGGAGAGGTGTCCTGGCAGACGCGACACACACAGCTCAGGCCTTTATTTCTGTGTTGCAGATGTGCAGTAAAAAGCCAAAGACCCAGTGCTGTCTCCTGTCTCTTACTTTCATGCCAGAACACAATGCATAGACAGACGTAACATACAGATGGGTTACATTGGTGCATCAAGCATCGACGTCATCTCGATCACCTCTGCCCTTTGCAACACATAGGCAGCGACTGCCAAACAACCGCCAGCAGGCTCTTAAACGACTGCACACTCTCAAGCAGAGTCTTGACAGGAAGGCAGACATAAGAGATCACTTTGTTAAGTTCATCCAGAAGATGTTTGACACTCAGCAAGCAGAGTTAGCACGTGCTTTGAAGCCTGAGGAAGAGTGCTGGTATCTTCCATTGTTTGGAGCATACCATCCGCAAAAGCCTGGACAAACACGGGTAGTTTTTGACTCGAGCGCCAAACACGAGGGGGTGTCATTGAATGATGTCCTTTTAAGTGGTCCAGACTTGAACAACACTTTGGTTGGAGTGCTACTGCGGTTTCGAAAAGAGCTTATAGCAATAACTGCAGATGTGGAACAGATGTTCTACTGCTTTACTGTAAGGGAAGATCACCGGAACTACCTACGTTTTCTCTGGTACCGAAACAATGACCTCTCAAAAGATGTGACAGAGTTCCGCATGACAGTGCATGTGTTTGGCAATACCCCTCACCAGCTGTGGCGATCTATGGGCTGAGAAAAGCAGCTCAAGCAGGAGAGGCAGAGCACAGCAAAGATGCAAGGAAGTTTGTTACCAGAAACCTTTATGTCGACAACTGTCTGACTTCACTCCCTAAAGAAACAGAAGCCATCAGTCTTCTTCAAAGAACACAGAAGATGTTAGCTGAGTCCAATTTATGGCTACACAAAATTGCCTCAAACAGTAGCAAGATAATGGATGCATTTCCAGCTGATGATCTGGCCAAGAACCTGAAAAACCTAGACCTAGGGACAGATTCTCTTTCTGTTCAGTGTAGCCTTGGACTGAGCTGGAGTCTTGAATCAGATTCTTTCACCTTCCAAGTTTCCAAGGAAGAAAGACCCTTCACTAAGCGAGGCATACTCTCTATAGTCAACAGCTTGTATGACCCATTAGGGTTTATCACTGTCCAAGGCAAAGCCCTCATCAGAGAACTTACCACAGAACCATGTGAATGGGATGATCCTCTTCCACCTGCCAAAGAAAGACAATGGAAAGACTCCATGCCAGAGGTAGAGCTTCTGCAAATACCCAGGCCTCATATTCCATCTTCTCTGTCCTCTATGCAGCACCAAGAGCTTTGTGTCTTCTCAGATGCCTCGTCAATGGCTATTGCAGCAGTTGCCTACATACGAGCTATTGATAAACAAGGACAGTGCTTCATCGGGTTTGTCATGGGTAAATCCAAGCTAGCACCCAAGCCTGCACATACCATCCCCCGATTGGAGCTGTGTGCTGCAGTTCTTGCTGTAGAGGTGGCAGAGCTCATTTGTCAGGAGATGGACCTTGAGCTGCATGCCGTAAGGTATTACACAGACAGCAAGATTGTGCTATAATGCTTCGTGAAGGTTTTACATCTATGTGTCCAACAGAGTCTCCAGAATTAGGAAGTTCACTACATGCACGCAGTGGAAGTATGTTGCAACAGAGAACAACCCAGCTGACATCGCAACAAGGCCGATTGCAGCAAGTCTCCTGCACAAAACAAGCTGGTTCACTGGTCCTCAGTTCCTAAAGCAGGCCCAACAACAGGTATCCCCATCAGTGACATTAAGTAAGTTTGACCTTGTTGAACCACAGCACGATGCAGAGACTCGCCCAGAAGTCAGCAACTAAGGCTACTGATAGACCTCTCAGTCCACAGAGATTTGAATGGTTCTCCTCATTGAAAACTCTGATAAATGGAATGGCGAAGCTCATCAGCGTGGCAAGATACAGATCCAGGCTTTCAAAACAAGTCCCACAAAATCCACAAACACAGGCAAAATTTAGAGTGATCTGGAGTGTTCAACAGTTAGCATTCACGAAAGAAGTGAAACAATTGGAGAGAGGGAAACAAATTTCCAAAGCAAGTCCTCTGTGGAGGTTGAACCCCTTTATCAATCAGGATGGAGTGCTTAGAGTAGGTGGACGGCTCTCTTCAGCTGACCTTCCATATGATGAAAAACACCCAGTCATACTTCCCAAGAGACACGATGTGACAACTTTGTTAGTGAGACATCATCACCAGGAAGTTGCCCACCAAGGTCGCCACTTAACTGAGGGGGCACTTCGCTCAGCCGGTTTGTGGATAATTGGAGCAAGAAAGCTGGTTTCTAGCTTGATCTATGGATGTGTCATATGCCGCAAACTCAGAAGAAAGCCTCAAGAGCAAAAGATGTCTGACTTGCCTGAGGATAGGCTTTCCATAGAACCCCCGTTCACCAGAGTTGGTCTAGATGTCTTTGGACCATGGAGTGTAGTGTCACGATGAACGAGAGGAGGCACAGCAGAAAACAAGCGATGGGCAGTGTTGTTTACGTGCCTAGGAACACGAGCAGTGCACATAGAGGTGATTGAATCCATGACCACCTCAAGCTTTATTAACGCCTTAAGAAGGTTTATTGCCATACGAGGACCTTCCAAGGTTCTCAGGTCTGACCGTGGAACCAACTTCGTCTGTGCCTGTAGAGAGTTAAGGATCTTTACAGATGACTCAGAGGTCCGAAATTACCTTAGTAATGAAGGGTGCTCATGGACCTTTAATGCACCACACTCATCCCATATGGGAGGCTCATG